GCATTCCTGAATTGATTACCTTTGATTGATGGGTCAAATTTGTTAATTTTTGGACCACCCGTACATGAGGTTTTAACTTAACACCCCACAGTTGAACTTAGCACCCCCAAAGTATATGAAAAGACTAAAATAACTCAACCAAATTTTTTTACAAACTTTCAAAATTTCCAAGATCACACTGAGAATTTGAAATTTACAGGGCGATACTGGAGATTTCCAGAGCATACCGGAGATTTCGCAAAATAGTTAGAAATTTACAATATTTCTTCAAAATTTCCGATATATTGCCACGAAAATTTAGAAATTTCTGGTTATTTTGTAACGGAAATTTTGAAATTTTTGGTTATTTGGTTAAATTTTATACCATAAATTTTGAAATTTCTGATTGTTCATTTTATGTACTGAAAATTTTGAAATTTCCGGTAGTTCACTTTTAAAAAAAATCATAAATTTCTAAATTTCGGTAGTTCATTTTTTTCGTAATTTTTTTCTCCCTTTATTCTTTGTTTCAGTAAGGACCAGGGGCAAAGACTGTACCATTACTGGCAGACTAACTAATATAGCAGAAGCTCGGGTCCGGGCTGATGAGACACAAGCTTCCGAGCTAGGGCAGAATGACGTGCTATGACCGGTTCTCACCAAAAAAGGTTGGCTGATCAGCAGACGCGATTCAGCGTATTCCGACGACAAACTGCTAGAATTTCTACTACCGATGAAGTACATCATGATCGTTAAAAAAACTTAAATTAATGAACTACCAGAAATTTCACTGTATTTAAAATTTCCGATACTGACTTGTAAATTTGAAATTTCTAGAATACCAAAAATTTCATATGAACTATCGGAAATTGTAATGTACCAAAAATTTTGCTATATCCAACCAGAAATTTCCCCTGTACCAGAAATTTCACTACCAATACCGAAAATTTCGTTCAAAAATTCTTCTCATCTCACCGTGTATTTCTTAATAATGAAAATTAGGGGTGTCAGGTCAAATTTGAGAGGTGTTAACTTAAAACCTCCCTATACAACAATGTTTTAGGCTCTTTTTCTTTCCTCATTCCTGATCAAGGAGGAATTAACATCCCACCCCTCAAGTTATACATGCCAACCCCCTATTTTTTTATTCCAAAATTACCCCTGTTGAGTTACAAACAAATTTTCAGACGAAATTTCTGATAGTTATTGAAATTTCCGATACACACGAAATTTTTGATAGAGTTGTTGAAATTTCGGGTACACCCCTACAAAATTTTTGGTGTATGTAAATTTTCGGTAGTGTATTTGAAATTTCTGGTATTCCGACAATTTCAAATTTACCAGGCAGTACCAGAAATTTTAGTTATACTAAAATTTTTGATAGTTTGATTATTCAAGTTTTTTTAACGGTAGCGAACATCTATATAAACTCCAGAATTGTCCGCAAAGAGAGTACATGCCATCAAATGTAGCATGTACGCCCTAGCGACAACCTGGTACCTATGGGCCTCCACGAGCTCCACGTATAATCTCCTCAACCAAGACAGCTGAAGGCGAAATCTCCAGTTAAACCCAAACTCATCTAGCACCCTCGCCTCAGATACCTCTAAATCATCCATAACCATGTGCACCGTTGTCACATGGTTAATATGAGAAGGTGTAAAGAATGTACCAACGACCAGAATGTGAAACAGGACATCGATATCATCTAATGTGATTGTCATCTCCCCAAATGGAAGATGAAATGATTATGTCTCTGGGTGCCACCGCTCAACAAAAGCAGACAACATAGAGGCGTCCAGCATGGTCAAGGAGCACTGCGCGAACTCCAGCAAATGAAAATCTCTAACAATACTTCTAACATCCTCAGGCATGAGACTCTCTGAGAAGTCCTTCGACTTCGAACCATGAGAAGCGACCTTCAGCATGAGCGCTCCTGTAAGAATAAAAAATAAAATACATCAACTTTCAAACACTTGAAAAAGTATGCAATTAAAGAAAACAAAGTATATACCTCGTCATGCCATATCCTGTAAGCGGCATGGTCAGCAAATCCTGTCAGCACAGACCTGTCTGAAGGTCCTCCTGGAAAGAATCCATCAGTGTGAATTGATAGCTCCGTAGACGCATGAGTCGTGGTGTCTGTATCAGTGGGGAATACCTTGTCAATGCGCTCAGCAACAGCCTCCTCACCCTGCTCTACAATCTCCTCAGCTGCCGGCTCCACAACCTGCTCAGTTGTCGGCTCAGTTGCGCCCTCCACAACAGACACAACCTTCTCAATATGTTGTTCAACACTCGGCTCAATCATAGGCACATGAACAGGAGCAAAAGTATGTACCTCTTCAGCAGTAGAAACTCTAAGTCTTTGACGGCAGAGTGCACGGAACTGCGCCTGCTGCTCCGCCATCTATTTCCGTTAAGAATCGGTCGGAGGACGTCGTCCAGCCCATAGCTCAAAAGTTGTGTCTCGTCAACCCGAGCCTGAGCTTCCGCTTTATCATCCACCCTATATGCAACAGAACCATTTTTACCTCTGGTCCTCAATGAAACATTGAAAAAAAATTAGAAAATCATATACTATTGGAAATTCAAAAATTTTCAGTATTTTTCATTAAAAAAATAAACTATCGGAAATTTCAAAAATTCAGGTACATGTTGTTAAGCTACAGAAATTTTAAAATTTCCGATACAAAAGATAAACGTATTAATCAGAAATTGCAAAATTTCCAGTTCAAATATATCGAATATTTTGAATATTGTAGTATAATGTACCAGAAATTTTACAAATCTACCGTAAATTTCTTACTTGTTTAGCAAATTTCCAATGTCGTCTTCCGAATTTCAAATTTACGGTGTAGTACCACATATTTAAAATTTTTGAGAATTTTTTAGATTTAAGTAATTTTGTCTTTTCATATCTTTGGGAGGGTGGCAATGTATAATCGGAAGGTAGATGTTAATTCCTCCTGATCAAACATTACAAAGTAATATTTAAAAAATTCAGAAAAAAACATTTCTAGGAGTTCCATGAACCTGACACTTTGTAAGGCTCCTACAACTTTTTAGCATGCTCGTAAAAATGCAAATTAACATGATCATTTTTCTAATGAACTACTAAATATTTTTAGACTTAACTGCAAAAAGGGTCTTGTTAATTCAAAATTTAGTTAGGAAGTTAGAAAGTCCAGACCCAAAATTGTTTCATCAAGAATTTAAATTTAGGTTCTCTCCGATGATTCCTCTGTAATGACAAAAGGAAACTTCAACGTCAGGTATTAAGAAAATGTGCTTCAGCTCTGCTGTTATTTTCATCTACTGTTTTCATATGAGAAGCTTCTGTCAAAGTTTAAACTCAAGAAGAATATCAAAACAGACCTTGACCAAAATCTTGCTTGCTTCACATCGGATCTGATTTCAACCCCTGTCGGGTTAGCATGCAACTCAAAATTCAAAACTAATCTCAACGATTGTCCAATTTGACTTGAACTTTCCCAAATCACCAAGAGTCAAGCATAACTCCCTTACCCATCATCCTCAAAGAGCCTCAACTCAGGCCATTCACTCAATCCACTATATGCTTGAGCATTGGTTTACTTTGGCAACAATATCGTGTAAAATATTACCATGTAACATTGCAGAACTTCACTTCGAACAAATATAACATAGAATACAGAACTTTCACCATGCAGCATGCAACCACGGCGACATCAATGCATTATTTTTTAACATTTAGCACTTCAAATAATCAATTTGAGCTTTCAAATACATAAGTTTCTTTTGGTGCATCGCATTTGGTAATGCCATCATCGCCCATATGCAGATCTACCCTAATGTATGATTATAACACTGTTAGTTCATAAATTTAGGTTCTGATTTAATGTTCTTCAAGGATTTGAAAAACAGACAGCAAAATTAGCTATGCTTTATTGAGCTATACTTTATAGGTATGTCGATGTGTGTAGATGCAACCCTTCTTGAAGAAACAAAAGATAAATGATATTCTATAATTACTGTTAAATTTCAAGTTGGCAGAAAAATATTTAAAGACCCAAACACTTGTTTTCACTTGGTCCTTTAGTAGAATTGGCCACCTGGTTTTCATTCTTGTAGTAAGGGGTGGTACTTAATTTTTATACCGATGTGTTGGAGTTTAACAATAACTAAGCATCTAAGCACCTTGCAGTAAAGGGTTAAATATGTTTCTCTTCATCACTATAAAATGAATGTGGTCTTTCTAACTTTTTTATTGGTTTTCGTCGCTCCAAAGTGTGTTTAGTCCTTGGAAGACTACTATGAAGTATGAACACCATAGAAATAATAACCTGATTATTCTAGGTATTACAAGAAATGACATCATAAGATTCATACATCTCTTAAATGGGTTGTCTAAGCATGCATTTGGTATCCCATTAGTAACACTGCAGGCGTGCGATTACATCTACACAACCTAGCTTTTCAGTCAACATGTGATGAAAGCCTTTCAGCCGCATAACCAAACACACCATAAATCTAAATCAGCAGTATGTACCAACTGTCGTGTCATGTGCTATTCAACAACAACAACTAAGCCTTATGCCACAGGTGTTGTGTCATGTGCTATATGTATGTAAAATTAAATGACTGAATCGCTTATCTCGCCAGTTTTAGGAAGCATACTTGAAGCTAGTCTAATCATACAAGCACATAAACAAAGAAGGCTCTGTATGCAAAGTAAAAACAGAACAAGCCCTGTAGCATGATAAAGATGATCTTATAGCCAACATCATTAGTAAATTACAGCAACTTAGAACATCTTTAACAGGGTTACCTAGAACATCAAGATCCAATAGGGTTTAGTAGAATATACAGTTTTCTGTTTGAACCAGGTCAAACAACTAAAACACTAATCTCAAAAGGGGAAAAAAAGACCGAGTTGATTCCCTAAACAACTTGCTTTGTACACATTGTTGGTGAAAAATGACATTTGACAACTTAATACAGCAAGCACCTATCGAATACTAATCATCAGCCAAGATGTATTAGGCAACAAATTTCAAGCATCTAGTATCATTATGCACGTTTTGACACCGAATCGAACAAAACCGCATACCACATCTAACACATGTATAATTGGCAGAGAAACCACATACAGTACAAAAATGACGCCGCGCGGTCGAGCTCGGAGGCCCAACTGCTGCTTTCCAATAGGTTGGAACATGTGGAGGCAATGATTCCAAGTTCGCCTGAATTTGTAGAAAAACCATCAATTCAAAAAAAACTAAATCAAAAAACAGAAAACCACCATGAATGTGATCTTTCATCACTCAATCACTCACATCATGTAAGAGCTCAAGAAATGTTCTTGGAGCCTTCCTAGCTTCAAGTGCTTTTGCTTGTCTTGTTTTTCTCTTGGTGCCTTTAGATTGTTTTCTCTGCATAAACACTTCAAAAATAAACAATTAAATTCAAATTTCATTTATTGAATTTTGAATATTGATAAATAGAGGTTGTAATTGTAAACCCTAACCTTGATCATCGTCGTCTAGAGAAGCTTCATCATCGTCAATATTGGGATCTGGAAGTTCGAATCCGGTATTATCATTCTCCAAAGCATCCAATCGTGCAAGAGCCGCTTGAGTGCGGTTGTCGGAGCTAGCAAGTGCGGCGACCATTTTGGAGGCAACTTTTCGGGTTCGGCTTGACGTGCGGCGGTTTGAGTTGGAACCATCTTCTTCCATTTTTACTTTTTAGGGTTCCGGTGACGATGATCGAAAACAACTTCAATAACGCCGATCTTTGTTCTCTTTTTTCTTCCGAGTAATGGATTTTTTTTTTTTAATTTTATTAATACAATTAATTTAATAAAAATTGTTATGTCGAATTTACCTTTATTTAATCTCTTATTATATCTACTCGATTTTAATAAAACTATAATATGTGTTTAAGTAGAATTTTAATTTTTTTTATTTTAATCAATTTACAAAATTACTCTTTTATTTTAAATTCACATGTATTTAGTTTTTCTCATGTTTTTAATGGAAAGAGCCGAAACTCGGAAAGGAAAAAAAAAATTTCTCATATTTTTATATTTAAAATTTTTAAATTAATTTTATATATAAAATCATCAAAAAATTTATATTTATTACATTATATTAATATTTTAAAAGTAAAAATATAATTTATTTGAGATACACGTCACTCATTGATTGATTATGTAAAAATATTTTGTTTTTTTGTTTTTTTAATTTTAGGTTTTCTCTGTCTTGATTTATTGCTTCAAGGGATGTTTTTTGCGATTTTTTTTTAGTAATAACCAAGTATTAAAAAAAATACACAAGTAATTATATTTTGGAGAAAATTACACAAATAATCATGTTTCAGAAAACAGCACAATGGATGCGCTAAGTGAGATGATGCATGCACTCACCTTTTTGCCTTAGGCGTCATCTCACTTGGCACATGCACTTTGTTTTAACCATGTGAGATGGCGCATGCACTATAAAAAAGGGAGGAGGCGACATCTGAGATGACTACTACGTGCAATTGTGTTTTTTATAAATAAAACACTCATTTCTCCATCATTCTTTACACTTTCTCACATTCTCTTCTTATTTTTTCTCTATTATTTGCGTCATGACATCTCTCATGATTTTCATCAGAGATTGATACATTATTTTCTCGACCACCAAACCTCCGATGAAAATGAAATTTTGGCACATTCACTTCATGGAGCGTTTGAAGAAAGAGTTGATGCGATGGCTAGAGGGAGACATCGTGGCTGGGGAACAAATTAGAAGGATTCAGAGAAGAAAAACAACCACCTCACTTGCAACTGGAAGAACTCAATCTTGGTTGGACAAAGTCAAAACAGACAGAGACGTAATGTGATAATGCATGGCTCAGATGAAATTGTTTTGACGGTTGCAATTTCTTAGATGTTTTATCGTGTTTTTATTTGTTGTTTACGTATGTTTTGTTGTAACAAATGCTTTTAATGAAAAAAAGTTACGTTTAGAACTTAAAAAAGTGCAGATAGTTTGCATACAATTTTTATGTTGTCGAGCTTATAGCCCAAGTGGGACAATTTTTTCGATTGTGTCTGACCTGAAAACATAAACCACACTTTCTTTCTAGCTTGTCAAGGAAGTCTATTTCAGTTGTGATACGCTTGCTTTTGGGATGACCCTTTTTATTCCTTCGCATTTGATCGTTGTGCCATACTATTTCTCTGTCGTATGCAGACCAGTAATCAGGTTTCGCTACCATTGGGAAGTCATTGTTGTATACGTTGAGCAAGATTTCAGACTTGTAAATGGGAGATAGAAGTAGTAATGCATCTTGATGAGTATATGCACATTCCGCAATGACATGAGAGCAAGGCATACGAAAGGCTTGAAACTTTCCACAATCGCACCAACGAGATGGTAGTATAACCTTATACTCTTGTTTTGACAGCCCCTCGTTGTGGTCGATTGTCTCTTTGACAATGAAGTTGTGGCTATGTCGGTCAAACCTTATAATAAGATGGGTGTTGGCTTTGGCACTTTCTGCCTTAATATACTTCATGCAGCTTTCACTCCATAATTTTCCTGATTGTAAGACCGAATTCCATATTTCACCTCTTTTTGCAAACAACGAAGCCATCCTAAAATATGTTGATTTCACCAAAGCGGTTACTGGGAGGTTTCATATGCCTTTGAATACACCGTTCATTGATTTGATAAGATTTATTGCCATGTGGCCCCATCGTTGTCTATTGTTGTATGACCTTGTCCTTTTCTCCACTGGAATATTATCAATCCACCTACCTGCATCTGGATTTGACAATATGATCTCATTGCGATAGTGTTTAAACGAAGGTTGTGTTAATGCATACCCCGCGTTCATAATTGTTTTCCTAAGAGCCTTGTCTTTGATCTCCCTCGTAAAATTTTATACGATATATCTAATGCAGTAGACACGCGTAGAAGGAGGGCCATGCCAATCATTTGCAGAATTATTGTATGCACTCTCAATAGATGCATGTTTTCCGGAGATCAAACAGAGACAAGGTTGAGGAGCCACGTGTGTTTGAAGATTCTTGAGAAAGAAACTTCAAGCACCACCAGTCTCTCCCTCGACTAGAGCAAAGGCAATTAGGAAAATGTTGTTGTTGCCATCTTGTGCAACTGCCATCAGTAGTGTGCCTTCGTATTTCCCGTACAACCACGTTACATCTATTTGAATAATAGGTTTGCAGGATGCAAACCCTATGATGCAAGGTTGAAAAGCCCAAAACAGTCGACTGAATATTCCATTTTCGTTGACATAAGTACCATTTGGGGCATACTCCGGCAATATTTCCATAATATAAACAGTTCCAGGAGAATACGTCTGAAGTGCATGCAGGTAGCGCGGTAGTTCATTGTATGACTCCTCCCAGTTTCCATATACCTTTTCAATCGCATTGGTCTTTTCTAACCATGATTTTCTGTATGACGGAGTATAATTGTATATTGTAGCGATGTGAGAGATTATGGTTTTCACCTTCAACGACAGATCATTGCTGACGAGAGGTGGGATTTCTTGACATATTAGATCATAATTTAGTTTACGATGATCTTGTGATTGAGTAGAATTGACGCACGTGTGGTTGGACATATAACCTATCACCCAACAATCACCTCTCAATCTGTATGATGTAGTGAACCTGAACACACAATCTGGGTGAACACACTTGATCTTGTACCTTTCTGGATTTAATAGATCTACCTTAAAATCGACAGAGTTTAGCATGTAAAACTTTTGTATAGCTCACATACAATCTTCTCTATTACTAAATTTGTCTTTCTCTTTTAAATTTTCATCCGACTGCATATACGGGTTGAAAAAACATCTGATGACGGTTCATCTCCGCCTATGTTGAAGTTTGTCATGTGTGAAGGTGGTGTGTAGATTTCATTCGGAGGTATTTCAGGTAGCCCATCGTCTTCAAAATCATTGTTGACCATGTCTTCAAACTCTAACTCTTCATCTTCTTCGTCAACAACATCTACTTTTGCTTGTTCGTCTTTGAGAGGATCAACCACTTGTGACTGAGTTGGTCGTGACAACTGAGGCTCCCACAGCACAATGTACAACTCAATCGAGTTGTACCCAGAATACTCATGTTTGGAAAACATATTTTGAAGGTCCTCGTCATCTTGAACCTCTACCTTATAAAATATTATTTGGTTCTCACAAAAAAATCAGATTTTGATAGAAGATGTGTGTCACTGGACCTCGTCCATGTTTGACCTCTAATCGTTTTTTGAAATACAAGAAATTGACTTTTCTGTTTAAACAAAATCAGATGTTCTCATTGTCTCTAAATAAAAACCCAGATGTGGGACAAATGTACATCTCACTGTTGAAATATGCACTGATAACGTATTGTGGTGTAGAGGATATTGTGTTTGAATGTTTGAATGTTTAAAGGTTTGAGTGTTTGAATGTTTGAATGTTTGAGTGTTGATAACATTAGATGCATGTAGGATAAATAGGTTTCATTAAACTTGTACAAGACAAAAATGCACCACCACTAATTCGCCAATTAAGATGGCGACACCTTTTAATTTTAGACTCATGCTCATCTGGGATGGCGCATCCCTACATGTCCTATCACTTTACATGCATGCTCAAAAGATTACCCTTATGTATCCACCTATGCTGCCACCTACTCTACGTGTAGGCATGTCCCGTGCCAAGTTGAATGGTGCATGCTCTCTAAAATGCATGTAGGCACCATTTGGCTTTGTGCCAGTATGGCACGTATCATGCATGCATACAACCACCAACCACCTCATTAATTGACTCTTATACGATTTCGCCTATAAATATGGCGTCTGAGACACTTGTTTTGCATCACCAATCATCTCACTCTCTGATACAAACTCTTTCATTGTCTTATACAATTTCAAATATGGCTCTTCTCACAATAGGCGATTCTCATAGGCACAAGAGACAACATTGTGGCGTTTGTAAGTTTCTATAAATTCTTAAATATTCTTGTATATTAATAGTTTTTAATAAAATTATTATTCAATTAGTCATCTTATGGACTCTACACTATTTACATTTTGAATTTAGGATACTAAAAGATTTAGAATTATCTCACACAACTACATTATTCCCGACCCGTTGATTGTGTCATATATCGAATATGCGAGTTTTGGAAATGTTATAAAAATCTCAAACTGTATGATTGATTCCAAATTTATACCTACAATATTGGAAAGGTGGAAACCCGAGACACACACATTTCATCTACCAATAGGTGAATGTACTGTCACACTAGAGGATATGTACATCTTATTGGTCTCTTATCGATGGTAAGGCAGTTAATGAGTCGGTTCAACAACCCAATTCTCTATGCGAGGAATTGTTAGGCAAAGATATGGTAGTAGGTAGTGGTGCTAGAGCCCAAGGTATATTACTAACCAAACTAAAAAAACATTATGCGACTCTTGAGTTGAATGAAAATTCATCCGAGCTAGCAAGAATAATAAAAGCTAGAAATTATATGATGATACTATTTGGAAGCTTGTTATTTCTCGAAAGTACATGGAATAGTGTAAATTTTATGTATTTAAGTTTTCTTAGGAACTTTGAAAAAATAAGAAAGTATAGTTGGGGTTCTGCTGTTTTAGGCCATCTATACAGTTCTTTGTGTAAAAACGCAACAAAAGACAAATATACTTTTTATGGATGCACTTTCTTA